GGCAAAGAAAGATGGATTGAAGAGACAGATAATAGAAGAAACAGAAAACAGATAAAAACAGATGGCCAGAAGAGATGCAAAGAAACAGTCTAATCAGTGGTAGCATTCACAGACTGACCCTCAGTGAGTCACACACACAATCAGCACAAAGAGCAAGGCGGTTCTGCAGTCTGGGCCGCAGCCCTGCAGAATCCTATACAGTCAGTAACTTAACAACAGTGTTAAACAGTCCACCAGTCTGCAGCTGAACCCACAACAGAAACCAGAAGGGAAATAGGGAACTATTTATCTTACAGAGAGAAGACAGCCGGCAGACATTAAATAACTCCAATTTGTTACAACTTTGGTAATTGGGGCATTTGTATTGATTATGATAACATTGTACTCGCCATTTTCTTTTCTAAGAGGAAACTTATTAGATGGCATTACCTATAAGGACCCATATTTCTACATCGTCTTTCTTTTTTTATGGTCATCATTGAAAATAAATTGGGCAATGGGCAATCTGACGATTTTAGAGTGAGATTGTGATTTTAAGGTGACTTGAGATTGTGGTATTTAATGTCATACTTTTGTTTCAAAACTTCACACAACCTCATTGATTAGTACCAGTACCACTGGATAATTGGTTAAACAGGTGTAAAAACAGGCAGCACTACCGTTTGCTGTCTGTCTTGTGTTTTCTTGTGTAGGTCCAGGCTGCTCAGTTCACTGCATGACCGACAGGAGTCACATAACGTCACTGTCACTGATTGAAAATGACACGTAGGTCAAGCTGAAAGCAAATAATTCAACTACAACCATGTGGTAATGATGGCTGAAGGTTCACAAACCCTCTCGGCAGCAGACAGAGTGATTTGAATCTTAACAGGAGCTTCAGTTGTGTTCAAAATAATAGCAGTCCAACTTGACTAACCAGATCAATCGCTGCTTTTGGTAGAAATTATATTACTACATGGCAAATAATTTACCAGTAGGTGTAGTAGAGTCATAGAAAACCAACAGACCCAACATTCATGATATGCATGCTCCTGAGTCTGTGTAATTGAATAATTAATTGAAAGGGGTGTGTTCAAAATAATAGCAGTGTGGAGTTCAATTAGTGAGGTCATTCATTCTGTGAAAAAACAGGTGTCAATCAGGTGGCCCTTAGCCAGCACATGTTGAACATGCATTTCTCTCAGAAAACCTGAGAAAAATGGGTCGTTCCAGACATTGTTCAGAAGAACAGCGTGCTTTGATTAAAACGTTGATTGGAGAAGGGAAAACGTATAAAGAAGTGCAGAAAATGCTAGGCTGCAATGCTTTAAAATGGAAAGCAAAAGCAGAGAGACGTGGAAGAAAACTGAAGACTACCGAATGGATCAAAGAATAGCCAGAATGGCAAAGACTCAGCCACTGATCAGCTCCAGGGTGATCAAAGACAGTCTGAAGTTACCTGTCAGTACTGTGACAATTAGAAGACGCCTGTGTGAAGCTAATCTATCTGCAAGAAGCCCCCACAGAGTCCCACTGTTTAAAAAAAAGACGTGCTGAAGAGGATACAATTTGTCAAAGAACACATCGACTGGCCTAAAGAGAAATGGAGAAACATTTTGTGGACTGAGGAAAGTAGACAGTTTGTGACGACCCCGAACACTGAATTCAAGTCACAGTACACTCTGAAGACAGTGAAGCATGCTGGTGCAAGCATCATAATATGGGGATGTTTCTCTTACTATGGTGTCGGGCCTATTTATCGTATACCAGGGATCATGGATCAGTTTGCATATATCAAAATACTTGAAGAGGTCATATTGCCTTATGCTGAAGAGAAGATGCCCTTGAAATGGGTGTTTCAACAAGACAACAACCCCAAACACACCAGTAAGCGAGCAGCATCTTGGTTCCAGATCAACAAAACTTAAGTTCTGGAGTGGCCAGCCCAATCCCCGGACCTTAATCCGATAGAAAACTTGTGGGGTGACATCAAAAACACTGGTTGTGAACAGGTTGTTCACAGGTGCCAGAAGTTGGTCGACTCCATGCAACACAGACGTGAAGCAGTTCTCAGAAACAGTGGTTATACAACTAAATATGAGTTTAGTTGTCCTAAAGATTTTTTCAGTTTATACAGTAAATATTTGAGTTTGTGATTAAAATGCAGACCCTGCTGTTTTTTTGAACAGCCCAATATTCATTTACTTCATTTTCTGTAAAGTAATTAAAATATTGATACATTTTTCTTCATGTTTTGATGTAGAATATAATGTGCAGTGTTCCCAACGCATGGAAATAAAAACTATTATAAGGATTTTGAGCTTTACTCACGTTTTAAACACACTGCTATTATTTTGAACACATGGGCTAATGTGGGTTGGGGAACTACAGCGGCTAAGGATTTAGCTTCCATGGTGTGCTTACAATGCAAGCCTCGCATCCAGCACGGAAAATCAACTAGATTTCTTACATGTACCATTATCACTGAAGGAAGTAAAGGAATAGCTTAACATTTGACACACTGAACAACAGAGAGCAGCAGAGAGAGAGAAGCCACTGCTAACTGCTAAGCTAAAGTACTGTAGCTAGCAGAACTGAATAGCATGTAAACAATTAGGGACAACATGGTTAAAGGAGAGAGCTATGAGTGCTTGAGCAGAACTACAGTACATTTAAATGTATAGTGTGGAATTATCCGCAGTAAGTTGATGTACCAGCAAAAGAGAAGCACTCAAAACAAATGATACGCTGACCGCAGCACGCCGAGGGGGTCACGTCTTTTGGTCAACAGACAGCATAGTTATATTATCTAATGGTTTATGGACATAAAGCTCAAAAATAGATCATCTATGTTGAGTTTTTAGAACAAATCATCGACCCTCTTTTTTGGCAAAATATGACAGTACTATTGACTAGCCGATCTGCGATACACAAACCTAGTGTAGCACAGTGATGTAGCCTAATCCATTGCGCTGATTGGACGAATTAACTCTTGTGGCTCCTCCTCATCCTTGGGTGACATATTGTAAACAATGCAACCAAACCAGAAATATATGGGTCATTTTGGAAGGCAATTACAAATGAGTTCAGTTTGGAGAACATTTTGCACTGTTCCAAACTATGCTTTGTCCTGCACTCACTCAGCACAGCAGTATCTCAAGTTTTGAGGAATCGAGACCAGATTTTTGTCACTTCTATTTACATATAAATGTAATAAAATATTTGGCATCTTAATATAACACAGCTTCCACCAGTCAGTCAGACAGACAGTTCTGTAGTGAGAACAGAGGGGGTGACAAACAGAGAAGAGATGCAGGGCTGTTGGCCTGTGTACAGCTGCAGTGTGGATCAGGCAAACTGAAAAGATTATCCTAAGTTATTGAGGGTATAACAACCACAATCCTCTGCCTCTATTCAACCACCGCCTCCAGGAAACTCAGACAAACAACAACACCCCGACTACCATGAACATTTTTGATCATGTAAACCCGGCAGAGGATTTGGAGCGGTGTACAGGGTGCGGACCTCGATAAGCACCCAGTCCTTATGCTCTCACTGTGGGCATCCATGCTGCTAGAGAACTGCAGCTTCTGTCAGCTGCACACTAAAGTCCTCACAGCTGCATGGACACACTGTCTCCAGTTATTACATTTAAAAAGGACATTGATGGAACAGTCAGAGCTTTAACACGGCACACAGACGATGCAGTAATTCCTCCAACCTCTAAAACACAGACACCTAAATACTGTAACTGCCTTATGTCTGCTGATGACAGATGGTTCATACTTGTCTCACATAACTGCAAAGAGACTGTTTCAGTTTAATTTAAATACATACATAAATATCTACACATCACAACAAAACAAGCTTGACTTCTTGAATGAATGCCAGTATTCAGCCTTAAAAAACAGCTGAGGGCCATCATGGCTGACAAGAACACTGAGAAGGGTTTATTGTACATGTGGCACAATAAGGGCTCACATGGTAAGTTCAGCCCTTCTATACAGCACCAATTCCATCAGTACAACAGCAGAGTCATACCACTCTGCTCTCTGACTTTCTCTTACTAACACAAATACTGTGTGCATTCTTCATGATAGTTCAGGATCTCTGCTGCCGTTTTTCTAAATACATACTCACACAAATAAGAAAATCAGCAGTGCAGCTTTTTTTAACCATGCAACTATGGAATTCCCTACGCAAGGCAATACGAGACGTGAGTTATATGAACTGAAAATATATTAAATAATATCAAATATACCTTTAACTGTCATTTTTCTTTGCTTTATTCTCATCTTTTACATGTTCTATTATTCTTAGCATTCCTGTCTTTACTATTTACTGTCTCTTTTACTATCCTTATGTGGTTTTGAGCCCAAATGTGTGTTATTTTACTGTGTCACTAACAACTGAGAAGTTTCTCCAAATGCCAGACTTGCCTTGCAAGTGCTGTGGATAACTTGTACAGTAGTACATGAGACAGATAATCTGTGAAAAAATCAGGTCCCTCTGGCTCCCCCTAGTGCTCCTAATGGCATTTGGAAAAATCTATCGGGCCTGAACGAAAACAACCAATCAGAGTCCAAGAAAGATGGTCCCAGCTCATAAAATACTGGAAAGACTTTTTGGGTTGGGGGCTTGAAGATTAAGTCTCATTCCCAAAGCGTCAGTATTTCTTGACTCTGATTGATTGTTTTTGTTCAGACAGGGTGGATTCTTATAAATACCATTTGAGCACTAGGAGGAGCCAGAGGAAGCTGATTTTTTTTTCAGATTATCTGTCTCTTACTGTCAGGATATAGTGAAGGTTTGAACCAACCTGTAACCGAGACACACCGACAAGCTCGGCTCTGGTCTGACTGGGATTTTTGGGTTCTTGTATATCCAAGTCCCTCCAGATAAAGACTCATATGGTACACTCACACACAGTCACAGCTGCACGGTCCAGCTGCAGCAGTGGTTTGATGAATGAAGACATCAGAAGCCTACAGTGCTGTGTGTCAGAGTGCAGAGAGACTTACTGTTCATTTACGACAAAGATGCAGTTGTCCTGGGAGGGGATGCCTGACACCGGGTGCTTACAGGTCACCTTTCGCTCATTGTGACTGCAGGGGAAAGACAGAGCGAGAGACAAGTAGAGAAAAGACAAAACAAGGGGAGAGAGAGAGAGAAAGCATTACATCACTGCAACAACAGCAAAACAGTTGAAACGTGTGAAAATGGACAGAGAGCTGAGGACACATGAGGCTTTACCACTGGAAAAGTAGCACATCTGCATCATAAACCTTAAAAAACAAAACAGTAAATCAACATTGCTGCACCTCAACAAACTCGCTCACACACACACCTGGAGCTATGGGTGACGCTAAACTTCAGCATAATGTCCTGAGTGGTGAAATGAAAAAATAAAATACAGTGTACACGAGACTGAAAATGACCAATCTTCTTCCAAAACACTGAATCCAGACCAGTCCACAGCACAGTGGATAGTGTGAGAGAGACTACGGGAGGACAACAGTGAACTGATAGACTCCCTCTCTCCCTCTCTCCATCTCCCTTTTCCTCTTTTCCTTCTGCGTTTCTCCTCCCACCACGCCTTCATTCATCTTTTTTTCTGTCTTTCTGTTTTAGCTCTTATTGCCTTTCTGTTCTTGACCTTGAAAATTATAAATAAATACATAAAATAATAATAATTTTCTGGCACATTCCGCACATTCCATTTCTGCCAATAGATCTTCCTTAATGTTACACACTGGGCCTTTAAAATTCATATCAAACCCAAGGAGCAGCAGCTGCCCTGATTGGTCAGCTGTTATGTGTTTGTCCTATCTTATACGTCCATTTCTTTAAGCACAGTACATCTTCCATACTGTTTATTTATCATCACTCTCACACATTTTCTTTTCACTGTCTCTCGCTCTTCTGTCTCCTTAGTCTTTTATTATCGCTCTCTTTGCGATTCCTTCATTTCTATCTCGATTACTTTCTCTGTTACTTTACTCCTCTAGATTCTTCTCTTTCCTGCATCCTCTCCCCCGTTTTCTCCCTCTCTCTATCCCATCGTCACATGCTGCGTCACAAGAAAACTGCTGACTTCTTCTCACAAAACGGGAGTTTTGTTATCGACCCTGAAGACATGATGGCAATGATAATGAAGTTGTGGTTGTTTGTAACATGCTCACAGACTGCCTAAACAAATCCTAATCTAAAGCAGATCCCTCCCTGATCACTCAGATAAGCTTCATTAATGAGAGAACCAGTCAGTGTACCATGTAGTTTATGACATTGGAAGGAGAAAAACAATATCTTAACACACACACACACACACACACACACACACACACACACACACACACACACACACACACACACACACACACACACACACACACACACACAGCATATGGGACAGAGTCTCTTTACACGCAGGAGGAGGAGGAGGAGGTGACGCAAATGCTGACAGAGTGAAAGAGAGGAAGAATATAATTTTTTCCTCCTTAAAACACGTCACTCCAAATCCCAATGGCATGCTAGTGTGTACACACACAGACACAGACACAGACACAGACACACACACACACACACACACACACACACACAGAGTAACTTTTGCACACACTGTGATGGCAGCAGTGAAACTGCCAAAATTTACTGGGCTGAGATTGGAAAGAAGCTAATTTATTCTGAAGTCTTTGACTTATTAATTATAAACACTATTAAGTGATGGAATTACAAATAATGGCTGCCACAAACAAATTTTACTGTGGGCATGGTTTCACACATTTAACACGTTTCTGCAGCAGATTTTGTAGACCAACCAATAGAGGGCGCCAATAACGCTGCTTTCATCTGTAACCACAGGCCCTCAGGAAGAACACTAGGCTGAGATGCTGACTTTTCCCATACTGTTCATTACAAAAAGGAATGGTTGTAAAACAATGAATACAGTTAACTGAATGTCATAAACTCCATCAAATGATTAAAAATCAAAATGAACCACTGCACACTGGAATGATACATTTCACCTGCAGCTTCGCCAGGTTGGCCAGCAACACCTGGAAAGGATTGTTTGCTCAGTCTCAAAAAGCTGCATCGGTGAATCATTTCAGTTGCCATTCATGTGCAGGAAGTCAGCATCTCAGCCAGAAAATGAACATGAATGCACCCAGTAAATTACATTGGAATGAATGAGGTGCCATCTTGGAAAACAGTATCCAGTTCTCTTTTATGTCATGTTATGACAGTACTTATACATTCAGAACTTAAATTAGAGAGTGGCTGAATTTTCATCTCTTTGTTATGTTTGTTATAATCTTGGAGGGACGTTATTACAAATGGAGGGTCTAAAAATATACAATAAGGCTGGGGGGTGGGTCTTGAATTTTTAAAAAGCTGCAATAATGCTTGGAGAGACACCACTGGTACATGAGAAAACTGACCCTTTCTGAATATCTTGCCTTTACTATTGTTATTAACTACTGATTATTTATCAAAAATCTCATTGTGTAAATATTTGGTGAAAGCACCAATAGTGGTGTGTACAATATTGTTCAATCTATATCAAAATATATCTAGGGATTTGGTTAAAAATATTGATTTGGTCCATATCACTCAGCCCTGGTTGTTATAGATCAACTGCTTCATAGTGTGTGTGTGCATGTGTCTGTGTGTATTCATTTTAGCCATTAGTATTATTCCCACGCTTGTTACCATGACATATAGTAAAAATGCATGTCATGAATATTCATATCAGTCTAATAAAAAGGTGAGTAGTCTGACTGTTTCACCCTCGGCTCTGACACCTGAGTGCAAATCCTTAAATAAACTCTGGGGCTCTCTGGGGGGGGTCAGCATGTGTCGGCAGCAGATGGAAGCTGAGCCTGTACACTGCTTTCACACCCACATCTGGGGACGCCAGATGTGCGGGAGCTGGAGGGAGTCAGGGAGGGAGGGGTAGAGGGCCTCCTCCTGGGTCTAATCTAGCCAACCGTGCAGCACCATAGCTGGGATTGCTCTGCTGCTCCGGTCCCCTGCAGATGGAGGAGAGCCAGGCCAGAGGCCTGCAGAGGCCAGTTGGCATGGGCTAGAACACCCTCAGTTTAACACACACACACACACACACACACACACACACACACACACACACACACACACACACACACACAAATATGTTTGTGTAAAAAAAACAGAATCTACAAAAGCACTTGTTGTTTCATCTGTCTTGTAAAGTCAAACACACAGACTTATAGCTCAAAATAATAAAGAAAACATCTGTCACATTGTGTGATACTAGATCTTTTAACATTAAAAAAACACGAATAGAATAGCATATCTGCCTCTGATAACAAGACAGCACAGTGAAGGAGCAGAGCATCATAAAAAAAATGACAAGTTGTGAATAAACCATCAGGATGGCTTTCAACAGGCTATCAGCTGCAACTTAAAAGCAGCATTTCAAACCAGGAGCATCATTACACTGAGCTTCAGATACGCAGCCAGACAAATCACAGCGGCGCATTGAGCCGGTGGACTCAATGTGAACTGTGCCTTATCCAATTTTAACTACGCTCACATCTCTGCCACTCCCCTGCAAGGCTTGACAAAGCTGAGACGAGACAGGAAGGATTGTCTCAGTCACCTTGAGTCATGGAAGACACAGGTTCATATTCTTGTAATCACAAGACAAATATTTAAACATGAGCAGCAACAGGCAGTGATGGCATTAAACGCTAAGTTTCATTCGACGACAGAGGTTAACCAAGAAGACAGTCACACACACTAATCCAGTGCAGTGTTGTGCTTGAAGTTGTTAACAGCCAATGAACCTGTTATCTTATTGATGTCTTTAATTGTGGATGCCAAAAATCATCCTTCATGTGGGAACTGTTTTTACTCCTGATGAACAAACAATGCCACATGCACTAATGTCAGCTTCTTATGGATCACTGCACCACATAAGCTCTACTTAACTGCTGATTAGTTTAATAGAAATGAATTATTGCTCCTTACACAATGTCCTTTGCATGACTTTTCTTCAACCCACCACGTGGGAAAAAATAGACACGAAACAAACACAAGCAGCTCTCTCTTACATTACTTTAACCTACTCATGAAAAGGTTAAAGTCTTATTAAAAGAACGTTTAGCCATTTTTTTTGTAGTCAAAAATAATGTCAATAGGTTCTTCTAATGTGTTGTTGATAAGTTCTTAACATTAAAATGAAGAATAAAACAGTCTTTGATGAAATATCAGACATGCTCCTTTTCGTCTAGCTAGTTAGAGCGGTGCCTTGGTTTGATTGACAGCAGCCTGTTCCCAGGTTCCCCCAGATCCAATATTCTCCAGTTCTACATATGTGTTCACAAGGTTCTATGCTTCCAGGGTTAGGGTAAGGGGTAGGGTTAGGGTTAATGTGTGTTACCAGAATAATGAACTGGGGAACATAGGATCTTGGGAACACAGGTTCCTGGAAACCTAAGAACCATGGAACATAGGACTCTGGGAACCTGGGACACTGGGAAAACAGGACGCCGGGAACATATTTCCCAGGCCATATAGGACCCCGCGAACATAGGACCCTAGGTATACAGGGACTTGGGAAGACAAGACCCTGCGAACACAGGACCCTGGAAACATAGATATGCTCCCGCTAGCAGGCTGCCAGAGTGCCAGCATTACACTCAAGGGTTTGAGAGGTAAACAAACTTGCGCTGTAGCCAACATGTCATGGGCAGACAGCGTGTTGTCAGTGGTACTAAAGAGAAAGGACCACATCAGCATCTAACCGGGACAAGTCCCATTTGCAGGTAAGTTTACATGCTGTTTAATGTGCTGCAGCTGAGCAGCTAGCTAGACATTAGCAGTGCACTATTCTTATCATGAAGCTAATGTAGGTTCTTGTAGGGGTTCTTGTGGCTCACAAGGTATGCCAAGGTAGAGCAGGTCGAACACTAATCAGAAGGTTGTTTGTTCGATCACCAGCTCCTCCCTGCTGCCGAAGTATTCTTGAGCAAGATACTGAACCCCAAATTGCTCCCATCGGTGTGTGAATGTGTGTTAAAGGGCGAATGTGGTATGTAGTGTAAAAAAACGCTTTGAGTGGTCG